AAAGGCCAAAGGCCCTAGGAGAGGCACTGCTCATCTCAACCTGTGTCCTGTGGCCACCCTTGGTAGTGAGGAGGTGGGAGAGGGTGACAGCTCACCCAAATGAAATACAATGGGAGAGAGGTAGTTCCCCAAAAGGAATTCAGGTGCTGTTCCCACTCCAAAAGGAAATAGATGCTGGGAGTCAAATCTTAAGAGTAAAAATTAACCAGGACTCAGGAATATAGATTTGACATATCAAAAAATAATCTCTGGGGACTTGTGATTCTTTTTGGGGGAGAGAGATTATTAATGGCAGCCCTATCTCAGATTAATTACTGCTCTTCCTCTTGCCCCCAGCTAAGAGCACCATCTGGGCCCTGCTTCCAGCCGCTCTTCAGGACTGCGTTCTCCCTCCCTCTCTCCTGTCATCAATCTCTCCAATGGCTCCTTCCACTAACTGTATCCAAGTGCTTTAAAGTCTCCTCCATTCCACAATCAAAACAAAATTGTGTCCTGTTGGGCCCCGCTTTCTCCTCAATCTATTTCCTTTCCCTGTAAAATGTTACTACCAAGTAATTGCATTAAACTCCATGTGCTAAAAACCAGACTTACCATTTCCTTCTTTTGCACACCCTCTTCTGCCTGTGTTCCCTCTTAACAAGGCACTGCCATCACCTTGTCCCCCAGCTGGCAGCCTCCAAGTTACCCTCGACTCCTCCTTCTCCTCCACATCTCATTAACCTCCAAATCTGATCACAAGGATATGGTCCCACTAAGATTCATTCTCTCTTTTCGCCCTTGGTTTTGCTTTATCATAGGCTCTTATCAACCCTTACTGAGACCATAGGAAGAGTCTCAGGCCCCTGTCTCTTGTTCTTTCAAACCACTTCCACACAATTACCCAGAACATTTTATGTTTATTTTTATGGCGATAGGAGCACAGATCATGACATCTTCCCTCTTAAATGTTCAAGTGCACAATGCAGTATCCTTACCTACAGGGCAGACTGCTAGAATCTGATAATCTGAAAATGTATACTCACTGATAAACAACTATCTATTTCTACCTCTCTCCAACCCCTGGGAACTACTGTTCTTCTCTGTTTCTATGAGTTTGATTATTTTATACACATCACGTAAGTGGAATCATGCAATATTTGTTTTCCATGCATGGTTGATTTCACTCAGCATAATGTCATCTAGGTTCATCCATGTTGTGGCATAGGGCAGATTTTCTTCTTTCTAAAGGCTAAATAACATTGTATGCGCATACCAAATTTACCTTATCTGTTCATTTCTTGATGGATATTTAGGCTGTTATCATAACTTGGCTGTTGCAAATAATACTACAATAATCATAAGACTGTATATATCTGATTTCATACATGTGTGTGTGTTTCTTTAAAAGTAGGATTGCTAGATCATACGGTAACTCTATTTTTATCTTTTTGAGAAACAGCCATATTGTCTTCCCCAGTGGCTGAATCATTCTACATACTTTCCTATCAACAATGCACAAGGGTTCCAATTTCTCCACGTGCTCATCAACATTTGTTACTTTCTGTTTTTGCTGTTGTTTGCTTGTTTTAATAATAGCCATTCTAACAAATGTGAGGTGATGTCTTATTGTGGTTTTAATTTGCAATTCTGTAATGAATAGTGATATTAAGCAGATTTTCATACACCTGATGGATATTTGTGTATCTTCTTTAGAGAAATATCTGTTCAAGACCTTCACCCATTCTCAAATCAGTTTGTTTTGCACAGACCTGTAGCAACACCTTGTATGTTTTGGATGTTGAGACCTTATCAGATATATGTTCTGCAAATACTTTCTTCCAGGCTATAGGCTATCATTTCACTCTGATGAATGTTTTTTATTTTATTTATTTATTTTTATTTTTGGTACTGGGGATCGAACTTGGGTCCTTGCACTTGTGCAGCAGGCAGTGAAATCACTGAGCGAAATCCCCGGCCCCTGTTTTTATTTTGATATAGCTCCGTTTGTCTAATTTTGCTATTGTTGCCTGTTGTTGGCGTCATTGAAGATGTATTGTCAAGCTTTTCCTTAGTATTTCTTCTACTTTTCCAGTTCCAGGTCATAATACTGACATCTCCAATTCATTTCAGGTTCATTTTTGTATGTGTGGTGTAAAGGCCCAGCATCATTTGTTCAGCACTCTGTCCTTTCCTCATTGTGTTTTCATCACATCCGTGTCAATGACTATATATGCAGGATTATTTCTGAGCTCTCTATTCTACTCCGTTACTATATGTGCCTGTTTATATGCTAGAATCATACTGCATCCAATATTATAAATTTGCAGTATATTGTGAACTCAGGCAGTGAGATATCTCCAGCTTTGTTCTCTGTGTCCAAGCTTGCTTTGTCTACTTGGAGTCATTTGTGGTTACACATAAATTTTAGGATTGTGTCTTATATTTCTATAAAAATGCTGCTGGAATTTTTGATAGAGATTGCATTGAATCTGTGGATTGCTCTGGCTATATGAACATTTTAGCAATATTAAGCTTTTTAATCCATGAATGAGGATGTCTCTTCATTTATTTCTGTCCTCTCTAATGCCTTTCATCAGTAATTTTTAATTTTTAGTGTAAACTTTTTTTTTACCTCCTCGGTTAAGTTTATTCTATGTGTGTGTGTGGGGGGGTATGTGTGCATGCACATGTGTGGTGTGGAGTAGTACTGGGAATTGGATGTAGGGCTTTTGCACTGAGCTACATCTTCAGCTTTAAACATTTTTTTTATTTTGAGACAAAGTCTTGGTAGGTTGCTAAGTTACCAGGGCTGGGCGCCAACCTGTGATCCTCTTGCCCCACCTCCCAGAGTACTGGGATTACAGGGGTGTGCCATGATGCCTGGCTAAATTTATTCTTAAAGTTTTTATTCTTTTTGAATCTATCAAAAATGAGATTGCTTTCTTTTTTTTTTTTTTTGGTACTGGGGATCAAACTCGGATCCTTGCGCTTACAAGGCAGGTGGCAGAACCACTGAGCTAAATCCCCTGCCCATGAGATTGTTTTCTTAATATCCTTTTCAGACAGTTTGTTGTTAGTGTATAGAAATACAAACTAATTTTTTGATGTTGATTTTACACCTTGCAACTGTACTGTATTTATTGTTCCTAACCATTTTGGAGATGGCTTTCTACATATAAGACCATATCATCCGCAAGCAGAGGTATTTTCACTTCTTTTCTGATTTCAATGCTTTTAATTCTTTTACTTGACAATTACTCTGGTTTGGACTTCCAGCACCATCCTTGCCTTTTTCAGATCTTAGAGGAAAGATTTTCAATCTTTCATCATTGACTATGATGTTAACTGTGAGCCATAGTACTTTGGTTCACAGAATTCACTGAATCAATTTTCCTATTTAAAAATCTCCAGTGGCTCTCCAGATTCCACAGGATAAAATCTAAGTCCTTTGCCTGGCTCTAACCTATGTGTAGTAATTTGGGGCTAACATATTTCTGGCTGTATTTCTCACCATGCCCTGCCATATGGAACTTTGTTCTCTACCACACAGCATCCTCTTTCATACCTCTCCCTGGATCACACTCAACCATTGAAACCCAACACGAATGGCACCTCCTCTGGAAGCCTTCCCAACTCAGCCTCTCCTCTCCCTGAGCTCTCACAGAATCATGTAGCACATTCTAATATAGCACTCCTCACACAGTATTATACGTGTTTGTTCACATGTCAGTCTCCACCCTTACGGGGTGAGGACTTGATTTTTTTTTTATGTTTATATTATCCTCTGTCCCACTACCAACTAGTGCCTATCTCACCTCCTGGAATTTACTAAGTGAATTATAAAAGTTTGTTGAATGAATAAATGAAAGCCAACGAACTAGGAAGTATAGACTAAGAGGATGAAGAATGAGGTAAGAGATCAATACAGAATGAATGAAAAAAAACCTGGTTGAGAAGGTTATGCAGTGTACCTCTCCAGAAGACATGGTTGATACAGCCACAAGCCCACCTGGACTTCCTAGAGTCATAGAGATCACAGCCTGGGCAGGTGTATGTAGCAGCCCCAGAAGAAGGAGCAATTTAGAAAGATACAGAACCTCTTCCAGGAAAATAAGAACCAGCTGCCAGTTAATATACAAGCAGAAATGTGTTGTGGGAAGGGGAGTGTAGGACTGTGGAAAAGGAACCTGGGCACGTTTGGCAGAGGTCACTGGTGGCCCATGCTGCAGTCTGCTCTCAGCTTCTCCTGGCTGGACCCATCACATACAGTAGAAACTAAAAACCCAGTTGCTCCCCAACTTTCCTCACAATTAGAGGATCGATGACATATGTCCCACCACACCACAAGGCTTACCGGGACTCTGCAGAGAGAAGAAAGAGGGGCATTTGGGCAGCGTTGTCCTTCATGGTAAAGAGAAACATGGAGAAAAAACCTCAAAAGCCACTCACAACCATGAGAAAGAAACCTGGGAAAAGCCAGTGTCAGAGGATGGCAGTGAATAAGAACAGAAAAGGCACAGGTGCTTGGTGTGTTGGAGACCCACAGAAGCAAGAGACCAATCCTGGAAATATCTACTTCCAGTCATAAAAGAAGATGCGGTTCTTTTATTTATTTACTTTTGTTCTGGGGATCCAACCTAGAGGCACTCTGCCACTGAGCTACATCCCCACTCCTTTTCTTTTTTTATTTTGTGACAAGATCTCACACTAGGTTGCCTGGGTAGCACTCTAACTTGTGATCTTCCTGCCTTGGCCTAGAGTAGCTTCAATTACAGGGGTGCACCACCGCTGCTGGCTGTGAGGATGCGTGTTCTTATTGCGTGAATCATTATTGCTTTTCTGTTGCTTGCCCCTAATGCACTGTAAGTGATGTACTGGGGACCCCCGGTAAACGCTACATAGGACAAGGCAAGTCAGAAGTCGGACAAGTAACGTAAACTTGATGTAAATGAGTAGAAAAGCCCTGAGACCACACAGGTTAAGAGTCCCTGAAATGCAAACAGACACTGGAGGATTAATACCTATGGTGTGAATTTCATTTCAGACTTTCAGTGATTCCATTTCCATCAGACTCAGGTATGATAAACTGGCACCATCTCTCCTTATCCCCAAGCCACATCTGTAAAACAACCAAAAAACCTGTTAGTCTTCAGGCTAGAAGGAAGCCTGGCTATTTTGTAACACTTTACAAAAGGACTTCCGCCAGGGAAGTCACAGCAGCCCAGCCCCCCGGCCGATGGACAGGGTGAGGAAAAAAAGGCAGAAGAAAAAGCAGCAGCAGAGTTGAGCGACAGTGCTTGGGGCAGTGGCAGGCACTCTTGTAAGCAACTGCCAGGCGATAAAGTGGAGAGGTGGTCAGCACCCCCATTTACAGGTGAGGAACCAGAGGTGCCAGGAGAACCCCACCTTGTCAGAGCAAAGCTAGGATGTGAACCAAGTGCATGGGGTTCCAGACCCCGCCCCGACCTGCGAAGAAAAGAGAATGCTGTATGGTTATGACCAAGTCCTTTCAGGAACAGCCCCGGAGCCTTGCAAGGGGCAATGGCCCTCAGTCTTGGTTTTGTCTTTTGTTTGTTTGTTATTTAATGTGAGGATTCCTTGTCCTGTTGGCTCAGTCACAGGTGAAGCTTTCCTAGGTTTCCCTTGCTCACCGCCACACCTGGTGGGCTGGGTCGCCACCAGCGCCTGGAGGACCCGTGAGCCTCCTCAATAAGGAAGGCCAGCTCCATAACCCTTCCCCCTAGGTTGCTTGGCCCAGTCAGAGGCGATTACATTGCCGCACAGCCAGCCTGAGTCTCCGGAAATGACCCGGACTAAAGTGAAACCTCACTGACTCAGACAAATGGGACAGGGGTGGGGAAAACCAGGAGGAACTGTGGCTGTCGTTGTAAAAGAAACACATTTTTTACATTTCTAGTACTTAGAGTAAATCACGCTAAACATTAATAGCAGCCAAGTGGAGTTCTTGCTGAGTTTGTGTGAATGACTAAATAAAACTAATTTAATTAGCATATCCTTTGTATACAAATACCTTCTATTAATACTCTTTGAAAGCTTGTTGTTTGAAGGTTAAACATTCATTCCCACATCTGACAGACCTCACCGAGAATCGTCACCGGGAATCTACGGTATGTTACAGCGCACTCTGCTAGAAGCTGAGGGTAGACAGGAACACAGTGCAGATAACACCCGAAGAGTCTGCACACGAACAGAAGATGTATAGATACAAACAAACTAGGATGTGTGAGCATTTATTAGGATTATGTTCTGAGCAACAAGTACAGAACAGCAGACTCTGAGAAGGGGCAGGAAGACCGCACTTGGAAGGTGATCTTTGAGGCAGGTTTTAAAGGATGAATAAGAGTCTGCTGACAGGACTAAGGAGAAAGTCACGGGTGGCCATAAGACAAGGGCCAAGAGTTACTCGGGACCCATGACAATGCCTCACATGAGCTATGCCTCATGTGTTACAATTGTAAATTATTGGACAAAACTTTTTAATTAGATGAACTAATGCAGAAATCATATTAAACATGAGAAATTTTAATACATAGAAATGGAAAAGGTAAGGAATACTTGCCACCAAAATGAACAAATGTTAGCCTTATGTCTTTAGCTACACATGTGTTTTAAGAACACCACTTTCCATTGTGAAGCCTTTGACTCTGCTTAGTTGGGTTCTGTGGCCTCCTCCGACAGCTCAGTCCCTGGTCCCCTCTGGAGCCCACCCCTCTCCTCTCCTGTCAGCGCCTCTGCTCACGCCCTCGCAGATTCTCCCTGCACCAGGTCGCTGTGCTGATTTGTCCCCTGCTGTAAGGCCCCCTCCACAGAAGAGACACCTGGAATGTCACTCGCTGTGCCAGTGCAGGTTAGCTGTGCACTGATATCTGCAGAGGGAAGGGAGGGAAGAAGGGATGGTACAGCCTAGTGTGATCTTGAGGCCCTGGATGAAGGGGCCTCTGCCGAAGGGGGATCAACAATCCATTTGGATTCCACAGACACCTCCCACATCCTCATTGCCCAAGGCCTGCAAGTTCCACCCCAAAGGGTAACAGAAGCCCCTGGGCCCTCTGCCTGCAGCTGCCCAGGATGGAGGAGTAGGGTTGAGACAAATACCAAAACCCCTGGCAGCCAACATGGAGCACAGGTGGCCAGGTTGTGGAAGGTGTGGTGTGGGGCTGGGGCTATGTCCTGTAAGCAAGGAGACCCAGCAAGGTGAAAATGTTACAGGCGAATAAAGGAACTGACATTCAAGAAAGGTGACAAGTTACACATTAAACCTTGGAATGGGAAAAGGCAGCAACTCCCCTACATCATGTCCCTAAAGTCCTGCCTCTGCTCTGCAGGTAGAAGAGTCTGTCACATTTCCCTGCCTTGCACTTCCAGGAGGAGGCTTTGAAAGAAAGTGACTCAAGAACAGAAGCCACTCCTGCCCCACAATCCTGATTACTCCCTTTCCTCTACCATCCCACTGAGCAAATGTTTACTGAGCACCTACTATGAGCCAGGAGTTGGGCCAAGGACCAGAACAAACTACCATCACTATTCTTAAGAAGGCAAACATAGAAAGACAAAATATGACACAATATAATAAATACTGAGGCAGAGGGTAGGATCCAGTGTTTTGGGTGATCAGAAGACTATAACTGTTAAGTTTATGAAAAGGTGGGCTATTTGAGTGGGGCTTTGAAAGCTGAAGAAGAGATGGTCAGGCATGGAGGTAGATTAGAGACATTTTCCAGGCAGATAAACAAAAAGCATAAGATTCTTGAGTCATCCAGAGAGGAAAGCTGAGGGTGGTGAGAAGGAAGTGGCAGGAACTGGTCCCTGTGCCTAAAATCCTCAGCCTGGCCTGGACCTTGCCTGGGGCAGGCTCCTTCTCGGCTGTTAGAACTGTAGGGTCTCTCTGTCAGAGAGGTCTTGCCTGACCACCACCATCAGCCTGTCTCCAGTTTATCTTGAGGTACTTTGGCATGTGAGTTTGATACTGTCTGTGCCACTTAGGTTAAGCCTCAACCCAGGGGTTGCCAGGATTTCAGTCAAGAATGCCCAGATCAGGAGGAGGGGTAGCAAGGTCAGAGGCCCAGAGTTGGAGCTTTTCCTGATTGTGTCTGGAACAATAAGCCACCCTGGGCCAGTGGCTCCATGAGGGGCAGGACTGGATCAGTATTGAGAAGCAGTGGCCTGTGAACTGCAGACTGATGTCAGATGTGAGTGCTTGTGTGGAAGTTTCAAGATCTATATAAGAGGGTCCTGGGGATACCTTGCCCACCACCCCTCTCTGGATCTAGGTGCACAAAATCAGGTGAGTCCTTCCACTTGTAGCCTGATAGTATCCCCACCAACCACTTAGCTCTTCGTAAAGTGGGTACAGCCAGGAGAGCTGCCCTGTCCTTGGGGCTGTCCACTGGGGTTCAGTGACTGTGGATGCCCTGGCTTTGGTCCTCTTTGGGAAAGATTCTGGAGTGTGTTCCACCTGGTGTCTGAGAAGGTCTCCAGTGGGGAAAGGCCCATTGCCCACAGCAGAACTTATTCCACACCCTTTACTGTCTTCTCCCTTCCTTGTTTTGCATTCCCTACCCCTCTCTTGAGCTTCCTAAATTGTCTCCCACGTAAAACAGCTGTACCAAACAGTCTTCTCCCAGGGCCAGCTGTTGGGAACCCAATCCCAGACAGTCTGGGTGAGCGAATGTGTCCTGAAAACACTCTCTTTCCTGCTGTGCCCTGTGGGTAAGAGTCCAGAGAGGTCTGAGGGTTGGCCCATTATGGTGAGGCTTGAAGCCAATATTTTTAATGGCCAAACAGTGAACTCTGGGAATTTTGTTTGCGGGGAGGAGCTGTAGGGTAATAAGAATCCTGCCCCTGAAATCTGGGTGTTTGCCTAAGTGCAAAGCAACATGAACTTGGGACACCCAAATGCACAGACATGGGGCCTCCTTGAGCCCACAGAATGGGTTGTTTCAAGTGATCCTGCTGCTTGTTCCTAGTAGAATGCTAATTCATGAATCTCTATGAGACATAACTTGGCCTGCAACTTGCTTATAACACCGTTATAAGGGGTTTGGGGGGAGTAGCTGTCACTCACTCTCCTCCAACTGCTTAGCCATGAGATTTCGAGACTGGGACTCTGGTGGGAGATGACAGCATCTTGACATTTCCAGTTATGTCCAAAGTTGAGCTTCTGCTATCCCCGTTCCTGCCTCTCAAATCTCCTTCCCTTCTTGGTAAATGATTTTTCCCATCCTTCCAGCTGCTCAGACTGAAACCCCAGGAGTATCTTTGATTCCTTCTTTCTTTCCATTTCTGATCCTTCTGGCTCTTAGCTCATGTTCTTCTACACCCTGGTCCAAGACCTTTTCCTCCCAGATTACTGCCTTCCAGTGAGTCCTCTTGCTCCTGCCATTGTCCTTCTTCTATCTATTCACCACTTAGTGACTCAGAGCAAAAGCTAAAGGCCTCATCATGACCTCTAAGGTCCCCGAATTTCTTCCCTGACCTCATCTCCTGCTGCCTCTCATCACCATCCTCTCCCGCCACACCTGCCTCCTGTCCTTCAGTGTTCCAGCTGTGCACCTGCCTTGTGGCTTCTGCCTTTCCTCTTCCATTCTCCTGAAATGCTCTTCCCCACATACATGTGTGATTTTCTTCTTCGCCTCCTGCAGATCTTTGGGTAATATACATCAGCTTCCCAGGAAGGCTTTCTTTGGCTTTTCTAAGTAAAACATGCTCACTCCCTTAAACATTTGCTGCTCTCTTTCTTGATTTATTTTGCCTAACATTTTTCACTGTTTGAGACACTGTATATTTTGCTTAATTATTTTGCTAATTGTCTGTCTCTTCCACTAAAATTGAAATATCACATATGCAGCAACTTTTATTCTTTGTTTATTGCTACATCCCTAGGATTTGAATAGTGCCTGGAACATAGAATCCACTCAGTAAAAATTTGTCTGAAAATGTATGAATTCTAGTCCTGGATCACAGCCTAAATGATAATTCTGGAGATTATAAAAAAGAAAATCATCTATATTCTGCTTCTCATATAATGGAGTATCTTGCATCGGACTGGTGTTCCCACCAAGAATGAATGGAAAAGCTGGATCAAGTGCACAGCTGTTGAAGGGCTTTGGAGATCTTCCCAAGCAGCTCAACATGGAACAGGCAGCTTTGAGAATATTTCCCACTCCCTTCAGAACCTTTAGAGGACTACATTAAGAGGAAGGAAGATCTTTTGTGTTGTCTTTAGCCACCGAATGTGTGGTCATTCGTTACATCATTAAAAAAAAAAAAAATTCAAGCCACAGGCTGGGAGAAAATATTCTCTTCCTTTCCCCTTCCCTGGGCACGTACACACACAGGCATGCATACACGATTTGTACCATGAATACATAAAGAAATCTTACAGCTCAATAAGATAAACAACCCAATTAAAATGTGCAAAAGATTTGAACAGACAAAATAAGATATACAAATGGCTCATAAACACATAGAAGAAGTGCGATATCATTAATGATTAGAAAAAAAATCTAATTAAAGTCACAACAAGATACCATCACTTGCTCATCAGAATGGCCAACACTGAAAAGGCTGCTAATACTAAGTATTGATGAGACTATAAACCTATTGGAACTTGCATACATTGCTGGTGGGAAGGCAAAGCAGTCAATCACCCTGGAAAATTGCTCACTAGTTTCTTATAAAGTTAAACTTATATTCATTATATAATCCAACAACTCTACTTTTATGCACATAGATAAATGAAAATATATATCCATGCAAAGCTTTGTTTATAAATATTCATAGCAGCTTTACTTGTAATAGCTAAAAATTATAAACAACTCTGAATGTCCACCACCAATGAACAGATAAGTTATGGCATAACAATATAGTGGAATACCTCCCAGCAATACAAAGTCCTGAACTACAGGCATGCACAGCATAGATGAATATCAAAATACTACACTAAATGAGGGCTGGGGATTTAGCTCAGTGGTTCCACCGCCTGCCTCGCAAGCGCAAGGACCTGAGTTCAATCCCTGGTACCAAAAAAAAATATTACACTAAATGAGTAAGTCCAACATAGAAAAATACTGTACATGGTCTATGATTGCATTTGTATCAAATTCTAGGAAAGGCAAAAGTAATCTAGAACATCACAAAGCAGAGCCAGGAGCAGGGTGGGCAATGGAACAGGAACGAATTTTGGGGGGCTGTTGGAAATACTCTATTTTTTCTTTTCTTATCCTCCCCCTCCCCCTTGTCCTCCTCCTCCTCCTTGTCTTCCTCCTCTTTGTCCTTGTTCTCCTCCTACTACTTCTCGTGCTCCTCTTCCTTCTCCTCCTCCTCCTCCCCTTATCCCTTCTCTTTCTCCTCCTTCTTTCAGTACTGGAGATTGAACCAAGAGCCTTTGCACTGAGTTACATCCCAGCCCTTTAAAATTTGTTTTTTAAATTTTGAGACAAGGTCTTACTGAGTTGCTAAGTTGCCCAGGCTGGGTTTGAACTCGTGATCCTCCTGTCTCAACCTCCCAGAGTGCTGGGATTACAGATGTGCTCCACCTTGCCTGGATAATATTCCATTTCTTTTTTTTTTTTGGTACTAGGAATCAAACTCGGGACCTTGTGCTTGCAAGGCAGGCCCTGGAACTACTGAGCTAAATCTCCTGCCCATATTCCACTTCTTAATAGAGTAGTGATGGTTAGAAGTTAGAAAATCTTTTCCTACAAAAAACCAGATGGTAAATATTTTCAGCTTTGAGGACCATGTGGTCTCTGTTAATACTCCTCTCCAGTAGTATGAAAACAACAAACAAGCAATTTGCAAACAAATAGGTGTGGCTGAATTTGACTCAAGGGTCATAGTTTACTGATTCCTGGTCTAGATCCATCAAACTGTCTTCAGGGTGAGTGCATTTTATTATATGTAGATTATACCCTAGTAAAGTTAATAACCCAAACCAAAACTAATACGAAGTTATTTTTAAAGTTAATTTTTTGGAAACTTACATACATAAAATACACAAATCACATGAAGGTAGCTTAATACATTTTAATTTCCATCATTCTGGTAGGTGTGTTATGTCATTGTGGCTAATTTATATTTCCTGGATGACCACTAATATTGAGCATCTTTTTATATGTGTATTATACATTTGGATCCTGTATGCGTATATGAAGTGGCTATTTAAATCTCTTGCCCATTTTAAAATTTGGATGATTATATTTTTTCTTACTAATTTCTGTGAGTTCTTCATATATTCTAGATGTCTCTCTTATATTACATATATATTCTTCTAATCTAAAGCTGCCTTTTCACTCTGTGCTGTCTTTTGCTAATCAAAGCTCTTAATATTAATACCAATTTATCAATATTTTCCGTAATGATTAGTGATATTGAATATCTTTTCATGGGTTTACTGGTCATTTGTATATCTTCTTTGGAGAAATGTCTACTCAAGCCCTTTGCTCATTTTTAATTGGATCATTTGTTTTTTGTTGTTGAGTTTGAAGACTTCTCCATATATTTTGGATATTAATCCCTTATCAGGTATATACATTGCATGGATTTTCAATTTGGGCTCTTTTTAAAAGTAAGATGGTGTTTAGTAAGGGTCTTCATTGTCCATAATCATCTTTAAAATGACGATAAAAAAGGGCTGAGGATATAGCTCAGTGGTGCCATGTCTGCTCACAAGTGCAAGGTCTTGACTTCAATCCCCAGTACGGGGAGGGTGGGGGGTGGGGGGAGATGATAAAAAGAAAAATAACAATAATTTATTGGACCTGGGCATTGTACAGGCACTCTACATGTATTATTTCACTTAATCCCAGCAATTCTATGAGATAGGGATTATTATACCGATTCTTAAAATTTACAGATGAAAACTCTCAACTTACCTGAACTTACAAAGTTAGCAAATGGTAGAGCTGGGACTTGAACCTAGGACTTTCTGCCTCTATAATCCACCCCTTTTCTTCAAAAACACCATGGCTACTTTACAGTATGCTCATGTCTCTCTGCCCCCTCTGTCCTGACCTCACCTTCCACCTACTCGATTCCCATACTAACACCTACTAAGTCCCTACGGTGTGTGCCTGGCACCTGATTAACTGACTTACACACAGTCTCTCATCGGTTGTCTTAGGGAGATACAGCCTATCTGCGTACATTCACATATATGAAGATCTATGCCCCCCCCACCCCGGCTGGTGACTCTGTCGAGGACAGGTGAGCGGACCTCAGGACTGCCTGCCTGCCTCCCCACGGCCTGCCCTGGAGGGATTCTTGCTCCCTCAGCTCACCTGCCTGCTTTCCTGGAGTCCCAGGTAGGGGTGAACGCTCTGATTCTTTCCTCTGGTGAGTGAGAAATAATCAAACTGCGTGCAGCTGCCGAGACAAAAACTGCAGAGGACCAGCTCCTGTCGTGGGAAGCCAGCCCACTCTTTTATGAATACCTGTACTTGCAACAGAGTGAATAATTTCAATTGACTTTTTCCTTCTTCATCCTAGAAAAATAAATTTTGTAGGTTTACAAGTTAAAAAATGAAAGAAAGCGAATTGTATAAAGGGAGATACCTGGTTCTGAAGAAAAGAAATGAAAATAAACCCATGTGTTGAGGCAGAAAGGTGATAGGCTTGGTGAGAAATTTGTTTATCTTTGCTTTTCATTTAGGATAACAAGTGGGATGGGATAAGTTACCCATAGTTAAAATTTGCATCTGGTTGAAATAACAAATATGTTTTTATTCTAGAATATAAAATAAAAGAAATAGAGCCATTCCCTTATAAAATAGCAAAAGACCATGTATGGTGCACTTCAAACATATTTGGATGTAATCATGAATTTAAACTTAGATGTAGATAGCCTGACTGTGCTTGCTTAATTTTATAGCTAAGTGCTTTCAGATATGAGGAGAGCCTGATCACCTTCTCCCTCTTGTACATGTTTAAAACACTAAAGTTTAGAGACTCATTCTTCTCAATTTTATTTTTAGGTAACCCACTTGCTCTGCCAGCTCACCCCTCTGTAGGGAGGTTTCTCTGGCTCACACAGGACCTGCTCCAGGGAAGTAGGTTTTCCGGGGCACTCTTTCATCCCCGCTTGTGCTGCTTCCCCCATGCCCTCCCAGGGCATCCCGTGCCCAGGCCCTCAGGCCTGGATCTGCTTCCAAAGGGCCTTGATCAAGAGCAGCAGCCCCTTCATCCTGATCTTGGTCTGGCAGGAGCGCCACGTGTTTGACATCTCTGCTCTTTTCAGGTTGAGAGGGAGCCTGGATGCCTGCAGGATGAGACAGCATCTTGAGGGTGCTGTCATCTTTCTTTCTACTGGGCTTGGGACAGTTAGATGTGTTGGTCCTTCTAGGGGGGTTCTAGGGCCAGCATTAAAACTAGGAAGGCATTTAGAGGCAGGCTGGATGAGAGCCAACAAGAATCGTTAAGGCTTCACTCTCATTCAGCAGTCATTCTTGGGACACTGATTACCAGGACTCCGCTATGATTCTAAGTGCAAGAGACACAAATGTGCAAAGATGCAGTCCTTGGATTCAAAATATACTCAGTCTACCATGGCCATAAAGGGCTACTTTAACTGAAGGATGAGTGCGACAAGAGAGAACTTTGAAGGTGGAAAAGATACACACCACCACTGAAGATCAGAACTCACCAGAAGAGATACTCACTGTGGAGAGATATGGACCACACTGTAGTTCAACTCTGCTTTCAAGGATAGGGTGGAGAGAAGAGAATGGACCATCAGCGGAAGGGACAGCTGAGGGCCATGATGCCCACACCAGCTGATTCACCTGCCTGGTCTCTACCAAGGACGAAACGGACAGATGCCACATGGGCACAATGAAGATGGCTCATGGTGTTGTCCATGGAAGTGGTGGTACTACTGTGCTTTGTTGATCTCTGCAATTAGATGAATGTCCATCCGTCTGACACGGTTCCAGTTTAGTTTCTGGCTAAAGAAACTAGACAATGACCTCAAGGTCACTACCAGACCTCAAAGTCTCGGACCTCAGGGAAACTGGAGCTTTGCAATACAGATACAGTTCCTGTGTGTGTGTGATGTATTGAAGAATACACCTTGGGAACTTCAGGAAGGAGTTAGGACTCTCAGGCAAAGGAACAAGAAAGAAGAGACTGTGTATTAGCAAGTGTGCATTATCTATAAGCAGAGATTAGGGGCAGGTGGGGCTGGAGTCAGGCAGATCTTGGTTCAAAACTGAGCTTCATAACTTCTTACTTGCTGTGTGATATGGATGAATTATTAAACCTCTCTGGGCTCTAATTTCCATATCTATAATAAAGAGCTAAAATGTCTTCCTTATAGTTGTGAGGATAAATGAGGCAAATGTATGCTAATCTCTTAGCTCCCGTCTCACATCTGTTGAGTGCCTGAGTGAAGGAAGTACTTAGGAAGACAGTTCCTGGCAGATAGTAAACCCCAATGAACATCTCCCATCATTACTTGCATCACGCAAATTCCTGCTGCATCGACACTGCCCTTCCCAGGCCTCCCCAGTGACAGCCTCAGCTGTGTGCGCTTTTGGATCACTTGTAGGAGACAATGAAATACAAGTGTGAGTACAGGTCTTGGCACGGGTGTCTCCAGGCAGCACACCATTTCTCCTCTGCCACCCCCTCTTTGGGCTTTGGATCCCTTCCTTCCTAATTCCAGCTGAGGTTTTCTAAAGCGAGCTGAGAGGAACCTGGTATGCTCTTCTTTCTCTGCTTCTGTTCCTCTCCCCTCCTCCCCCTTTTATTTTGGTCCAGGAACATGTCCCCAGCATGTCAACAGCAGTGGGAAGTAACCTAATTAGTAGTTATTTGATAGACTGCCCACCCTCACGTCCCACTGGCAATCCGGCAGCCTTTTTCTGCAGACAGGAAAATATTTCCTTGCTAATTAATCTGAGCACAGGGATTTGAGTTTGGACCAAGGCAGGGAAATCCATCTCCAGGAGTCTTGCTCAATTGCATCTGTTTCTCCTGTAGTCATTTCCTTCCCTCAGACTCCCCCAGCTCCAGCCACCCTCTCTGATCTCATCTTCTGCTTGTATTGAGGCTGGTTACCCTGCTGACTCTCTGCACTCTGTATGCCCACCCCCATGGCCCTTCTTCAGAAGAGGCAGCCCTCGGGACTCCTCGCTTGGGCTGACTCTCCTCCAGCACCTGAGGTGCTGCCTCAGGGTAGGCCGATTTGGGCTCCTCGGCTTGTGGTGGATGTGGCACCAGTGGCCTTGTCTGCTCTGCACCCTCCCAGGCCACACAGACCAGCACACACCTCACCGCCGTGCCCCCTGCCCTGCACTCCCCACTCCAAACAAATACAGACATCTCCTTGTCAGTTTTAAATAAGGTTCAGCTTCTGTCCCTGGGCCCTGCCTTCATCCTCTGTAGAATTGTCTATTTGCATCCAAAGAGGTTCATAGGAAAGGGGCAATTGTACACGTTATCCCACACCTGGTTCTTCCTGAGTAGCTTCTCCCCAGGACCTGCTGATGTCGCCAGAACACACATTGGACACGGGTGGCCACAGCAGGCATCTGTGAAGGGAAGGAAGGGTGTCCACAATAAGGTGATGGTGACCTCATTTCGACTGGAGAAGCTTGGGATCAATGGAAGGAAGACTGCTTTTCTCGTATATTAGACAAACCTGAAGGCGAGAGGAGAGAGAGGTTGAGAGGGAGGGAGGCGTCTGTGGGTATGGGGAGGAGGGGTTGGGATGCGGTAGAAGACCTGTTGTTCTTTTTGCCCAGCATACCCTTTTTCTGGAAACTTCTCTCCAATACTCTTTGGGGAGCTGTCCCACACCCATTGCTTGCAGCCTTGGTGGCCCTGTCAATCCCATGACAAGCTAGCCAAATCGCATGCCTTCTCCTCAGCTGTGAGTCTTAAACTGGGTGGTCTGAGACTGGAAACAGCCAAGTGCATGCAGATCTGTAGTGGCCCTGGCTCCTGGCCTTTCTGTGCCTTGGTCCTTCCTGTGAGCCTCTCCCCCCTCCCACCACAATCCTGGTTTGCTGAAGTTAGCTCAATTGGTTTCTTTTGGTTGCAATCAGCTAACAATGTAGCTAGTGACGTGATGTCCTGTTTAACCCATCCCTTACCAGCCTCTTTCTTCTATCTTCTAAGACCAAATTTGTGGAAATTCTCTTTACTCAGGGTTTGGGCTACCTTCAAGTGAAACTGCAACTGAAGGGCTGAAGATCCATGTTCTTTCCTTATCGGGCCCCAAAGTCTTCCTTCTCAGACCACTCCTCCGAAATGTTCTACACCTCCCTTGGGAGTCATCGCAACACAGGAGGGGCTCCTTCTCCTGGCTCTGGCATCCCTGTCCTCAGGCAATGGCTCAGTTTGAACCAGTCGTCCCGGAGTAGCTGACCAGGCCTTGATCAGATAGCCAGTGATGCTCGACTGCACCCGTTTTAATGGACAGCAGGGATGGGAAAGGGACTGGGTCTTGTAGTGGACACAGGTGCCCCTGGATGGAGCCCCTCTCTAGTAGCTAACTCAGTGTGAGCTGGAGGGAGACTGCTGCTTTACATACTGTGTCAACCCAACTTGAAAATGGTAATATTTTCTCAAGTATCAAAAAATCAGCCAAGATGGTAAGGTCTATTATTTATATGCAGCTTTGTTCTCTTATCTGTCCCATCATGGTCCTGTCTGTCAGAAATGCATGACATTGGCATTCATGCTGTCATCCTTTGTTCCTCAAAGATGGGCCCTGGACTCTACTGAATTCCAAAGGCTCCACAACCTCCCTCTGAGGGAATTAGCCAACTCTTCCTGAACTGAAGGAAACCATTCATGAAAAAGAAAGAATAACATCCCAATGACACATCAATGACACTAATGTTTCCTGAAGAACAGTGGAATTCCACTCTCTAAAGACCAGGAGAATGAATTCAGATCGGCTCCCTGTATCCCCAGTGCTAGTGAGGTAGCCCCTGGGTTGGTAGAGTGTGGTTGACAAAGTCCTCCCAGTGCCGGAGGCGGGGACAGGTTACCTGCCAGGTGAGGCCTCCTCAAGTTGTAAGCTCTTCTGGAGGACTCTGTCAGGGATTCTCCTCACCTGCTCTGGGCCCAAGGCTTCCTTGATAACACGACATTTTTTTTACAAAGGAGAGCTTTTTCTTCACACACCAACCGCCTAGGAATGAAGCTCCTTTAGACCTAAAAGAGCATCTATTTCCCATATGGCTCATGGACAGGGTTAAATTAACCCAATGGGAGAAGAGACATTTTCCAGGTGGCATTTGCAAAACTTCCTTCACCAGGACATGGCTTTAATCTCACGTGGATCTCTGTCTAAAGTGATGAGCTGGCAGCCTTCCCAGCTCAGATACGGCTCAAAAACCTGAGTAGCTCCATCCCAGGGGGCTTGTCATATGCCATGTAGCGAGGGGCCCAAGAGCAAAGGTTCTGGGGTGCACCTGCCTGGGGGTAAGTCCTGGACGGGCTGTTCCTTGCTGTCCAGGGATCTGCTGCTGTGTAATAAGTGAGCCCAAGCTCAGCAGCTTAAAGTAGCACCCTAGGATCCCACCATTTCTGTGAGAGAGGGAATCTAGAATTAGTTTAGCTGGTCCTCTGGCTCAGCATCTCCCACGAGGTCACAATGAGGGTGTCCAGCAGAGCTACTGTCTTCTCAAACTTCCACACTTCTTTGCTTGGTCCTTGTCAGGGTTCATTCAGGTTCCCATGGCTGCTGACCAGAAGCTGCCTCAGCTCCTTGAGGCTTCACCAGTGACAGCTCCATTCATCACAACAAGCTACCCAAGAAGAGCCTGGAAGAGAGGATGAGCAGGACCAGATGCCACAATCTTTTGTAACCTAATCTCTCCAGTATTGTCTCACGCTTTGGTTAAAATTCTACTCATTAGAAGTAGATCACTAAGCCCGGTCCACACCCAAGGGGAAGGAATCACACCTTGGTGTGAATACCAGAGGCAGGGAGCTTAGAGATCTTGAAGTCATTTTAGAAGCTACCTACCTGTAGCTATGTGGCTTTAGCAACTTATCTAGATGTTCAGTGCCTCAGTTTCTCCATCTGTAAAGTGGAAATATTAATTCATAATAGCCTGTAGGGATACTGTCTATATTAAATATATGAATGCAGGTAAACAATTTACAATGTGCCTGTGTTCAATACATGCCGGCAATTACAAGGGATAGAGGACAAGAGAAGTACTGGGCAATGATTTTAAGATCTTAGCATGCACCCATTAAACGAGGGACCTACCTGCTTCATGCTGCAGAAGACATGGCAGTGCCACAGAGGGGAGGGGAGGAGGAGGAGGAGGAGGCTGTGGGTGGACAGGTGCCAAGGATGGGATGCTGGGTGGGGAAAGGAGTCTGCAAGGGGCTGGGAGTTCAGGTCTGCCTTCCCTGGAGCATCCACATGTATGGAGCCTTTCCTATGTACTAGGAACAGAGCAAGTGCTCTTTCTGCATGATCCTACTTATTCCACACCACAACTCTGTCAAGTTGGCACTGTTGCTGTCCCCAGTCTATAGACCATGCATCTTCCAACAGAGGATGGCAGATTAGAAATTTGCAGATGAAAAACTGAAGTTCAGAGAAGGTAAGATACTTGCTTTGGCTCACACAGCTTCGAAGTGGCAGAAGGGGGCCTCTGGCTGACTCAGAGCTCAACCTTATCTCCACTGGGCTAACTGGCAGGGTGGGCTGAGGACAGAGAGCGCATTCACGGCACCTCCATTCATTCTCACTGACTACTGCTCTCCAGCCTCCTCAGCCTGACAAGCAGGTGCACTGGTCTCTGCAGATCCGAGCTGTCTGGCCCCCGTCCTCACCTCCTCAACCCAAATGCCAGCCTGGATACAGTCCAGGTTCCGATCTGCCTGACTTGCCCTCCTTGGGCCCTCCCACCAGCTATCTGCCATGGAGCAAATGTTTGTGTCTCCCCAGAATCCAGATGTTGAAACCCTAATCCATAAGGCGCTGGTATTTAAGGATGATGTCTTTAGGAGGTCATGAGGTCATGAGGTGGGGCCCTCGCGGTGAGATTAGAGCCCTTAGAAGAGATGCAATTGTCAGGCTCAGCCCCGCTCCATGCAAGAATGCAACAAGAAGGCGGACATCTGGAGCCAAGCTTGGCGGCACACACCCGTATCCCCCCCACTCTGGGAGCCTGAGGCACAGGATCACAAATCTGAGCCCAGCCCAGCAACTTAATGATTGAGCAAGACACTGTCTCAAAATAAAACCAAGAGAAGGGCTGGGGATGCAGCACAGCACAAATGCCCTGGGTTCAATCCTCCCTACTGAAAAAAGAAAAGAATAAAGAAAGGCAGCCATCTGCACACCAGAAAGAAGTTGCTCAGAAGAACCCCACCATGCTGGGCCCCTGGTCCCCAACTTTCAGCTCCCAGAACAGTGAGAAATAATATTTGTGTTGAAGCCCCCGCCTAGGGTATTTGTGTCAACAGCCCCAGCTGACCAAAATAATCTCTTAATGGCAATCTCAACTACTTATTCCACCCCTCACCTGCACCCTTAGATATCTTACAGTTGTTACAGTCTGACTCACGTGCTTTCCAAAGTCACCTTTCTCCTCCACCGTCACATTAAACCTCTGTCTTCAGATTATATTCATCTGTCTTGAGCTCGAGAGCCGGCCTCGCTGACCCTAATTCCTCCAGCACATTGAGACCCTCCCTCCCAACCAGCACTGCTAGGTCCCAGATCTTGCACTCTCGTGCCACCCCAAAGAGATGTCCTCTGCCCTGAGACACAGCGCAGTGGGAAGAGAGGCACTTTTCCTCTGCCCCATCACAGGGAGGGAAGAGAAGCCCAAAGATCCCAGAGGCGACACAAGAGAATGATGGAGACAGAGGCATAGACGCAAGGGGAGACGGTGTGCTCCGGGGGGCTATAAATTCCCTTCTAATTCCAAATAATTCCGATTACACGGATGAGTAGTTTTCAATCAGGAAGATAATCTCAGAGATAGATGGCAGGATAATTGTTCGTAGCGCCGACGTAAATATTGTGTCGTTTCTATTAATCTCTGCGAATCGGCTGTCAGAGGTGTCACTCATTCATCACAACAAATTAAAAATAAAATTTTAAGAGAGAAAATCATGCCTGGGGGTGGGGTGGGAGAGGCCGGGGTTGCTTCAGGGACTGTGAATGAGAGGGAGAGGTGTTGCCGGCAAGCTGTTGCCAGAAATAAATTTGGCTTACCAATTTAATATATTTATTTATGAAAGCAAATGGTAACGCGGGCTGTAGCTCTCTATTAACATCCCTGCAGGAGTGTGCACACACACACACAAGCAAGGCATGCACGGGCACTGGGGCAGGGTACAGTGCCGAGCCAAAGGGCATGGGCTGCCACCCCGTGGGTAGTGTGGGGCATGAAACATCTTCATGCCCATGTGGGCTGGACCATTGGGATCCCGAGCAGGTCCCCTGTGTTCTTCACACCCTAGGCTCTGCCACCCAGTGACAGGTGATAGTGGTGGGTCTGAGCAGTGAGACACCTTTTTCATATCAAAGATCTGCCATCCAGGAAGCAGTGACTGGACTCTCACTGGTGTTCCTAAAACTAGCTGGTGACTATCTGCACTGCTGTGACCTACCAGGGTTCCTCAGGCACCTAGGAGTATAAATCTAGACTAAAGACTCTTAAAGAATAGCCTGAGTGGTAAGAAGAAGAGCTCATTCACTTGTTTTGCTCATTACAATTCCCTGAAGCATGAGGTCCTTCTGGAAGAAGACACACATTTCCCAGAGTCCTCCTCTCCACTCAGGGACTGCCATGCCTGACCATCCACAGAACAGATGCAAGAAGACACAACTAGGATTGCCATTTACAAAGCATATTCTCTAGCATCAAAGTGAGATGATCAGCTCTATTCTTTTTTTTGGTACCAGGGATCGAACTTGGGACCTTGTGCTTGCGAGGCAGGCAGCAGCACCACTGAGCTAAATCCCTAGCCCAGCTCTATTCTTTATGTACAGAAATTCTCTCTTATCCTTGAGGGATACATTCCATGACCCACAGCAGGTGCCTGAAGCTCCAGATAGTACCAGACCCTATGTACAAGTAGAGAACTTTCATCTTTTCATTTAAAGAAAGCATTTTTTGGCTTCTCTGTAGCATACCTGAATGGCCAACATCATGGACTTTGGAACCATTATTAAGTAAAGCAAGAATTACTTGAACACAAGCACTGTGATACTGAAGCAGCCAATTTGATCATTGAGACTGCTATTAAGTGACTAACTGGTAGGTAATGTATACAGTGTGGATATGCCAGACTAAGGAATGATTCTCATCCCAGGCAGAATGAAGCAGAATGGCATGCAATCACATTATGTCACTCAGGATGTTGAGCAACTTAAAACTTCTGAAGTTTTTCATTTCTAGTACTTTCTATTTAATATTTTTAGACTGCAGTTGACTGCAGATACCACAAATTATAAAGAGTAAAACCTCAGATAAGAGAGGACTACTGTATTTATTTATTTATGATAACCATATGTTCATACATATTTCCAAGATGGATTTGAGAATATTTACCCAATACATACAATGTCAGTATAAAGGTCTAAGTGAACTGGTCCTTGCTCCTTGGCATAGAGTACACCAAACACACTCAAATCACCCATGTTTGTTTTATGGGTGAGTGGATGAGCAGATGGAAATCAGGGTGAAATGTGTAGCATGGTAAAGTCAGGAATAAATTTAGGGGTGACCAAAATGTACAGTGAATGTTTAAACTTAAATAGTTTACTATAGTAAAAGAATGATTGATGTTAATTCCTCTCAAAATACTCCTCCTTGCTTAGAACACACTTATCCAATCATTCTTGCCACTTCCTGAATCAGTTCTGGAAGTCCTCTTTCATGTCTTTACAAGGTGTGATCAAAACTTTGGTGAATGTTGCTGCTGAGTGCCATTCAATGGAAAGGCAGCATCAAAAAACATTA